GACGAGAGAGATGCCCCGGTAGTTGCCGCACTCCATCGTGTCCCCCTTCTTGAACAGCACTTTGATGGTGGCATCCTTCCACTACTGTGGTACGTCCCCCGTCTGCCACACGTCCACGACAATGGCGTGGAATTCGCGGAGGAGACCTTGATCTCCGTCCAGGAAAAGCTTGATCAGCTCAGCCGGTAGGTCGTCCGGCCCGACGGCCTTTCTGTTGGCCATTTCCCGTACCGCTTCCTCAATCTCAAGTAGAGATGGTATGTCGTCGAGTGGCACGCACGTGGGCCATCGCTTGGCCTTGTCAGCCGCATGCAGGTCGATGGTCGGCGACTTGGTGTTGAGAAGCTTGTGGGACCACCGTGCCCACCGTTGGCGAATAAACGTGGGGTTCCGAAGGACCTTGCCATCCTCGTCCTTGATGTTCTGAGAGGTGAACGATCTCTTACCTTCGACGTCGATGTGGTGTTGACGTTCGGTTGCTGGGACCCCACCTGCGAAAGGCGAGAAAGAGAGAGAGAGAGAGGAGACTACAACAAGAGAGCGGAGAGAAGACAAGGCATTAGCTCTCGAGAAGACACTCACTCTCGTCTCTCTAGCCCACCGCATGCTGTCAGACATGATGTATCGAACGGCGATGATATCCAATGTGGGCTCAGCAACAACGAACACAAGAAACAAATATAGTCGCCGTTTGCGAACTGTGGACTATCGTTTTTTGGTAGAAAGTGAGAACCAAAAAGAAACCAAAAACACTCATACGCATGCTGAGATACCTCGGACAACACCCGGAACAAGGCCTAATGTCTACGGCATTCAAACGTTTGAGAGCGCGTTACCTGGAATTATTTCCAAGACCTTCAAAATCAGTAAAAAGGAAACCCAAATTGCTTATTTGGTTTTACTAGTGCACTTGCGGATGTCGTCCAATTGCGCCACATACATCCTCATGCGAGATAACATCCTTAGTCTTATTCCACCGGAAGCTCGTGACTTTCGGAATCTTGTCTCCCAGATCGTACCGGGATTCAAGTACGGTGAGACTACGGATGGTCTATTTCTTAATGCAACTAGAGTGGGAAGGGAGATTGCACGTACAAGCTCTTGCATTTGTAATGATGTTCGTTGGAAGAAGTATGCGGTTGAAATGAAGGATTGATCTCGCGTAGTGGCCACCACGGATATGACTTGCTTGCAATAAGAGAATGCGGCAGCAGTTTTGAACTTGCAGTCTGATTTTCGATTTGTGAATGCCCCACAGCTCTTTGCGGAGGACGGGGAGGAAGCCAATCTGACACTTTTCGATAACACAGAATATGCACTTTCAGAGCTAGTCTAGTGACTGAATTGTGTCACGAAGTAGAGACGAAATTTCCAGAAATTCAGGGATGGTTTTCGACAGCTTTGGATAACATTGCTGAGCAACTAGACTCCGCCGTAGAAGACCCGGACTATCTGCCGCACACGGGCCATATCGACTTCCGAGAGGCTCAGAAAGCGTTCAAAGTACTTCAGAAACAAGTAGTGTTTACTAGAGTGGGTAAGGCTGCAAAATGCATTTGTGTTATGTGTAAGGCTTATTATATTAGACTAGCGGAAACGGAAGTTAATGGGGAGGGATACGAAAAAATGACTGGGGGCACGTTTGAAGAAATGAAGGAAGCCATCACCACACGGCAACTCAAATTTCTGGAAGATGAACATCTACCTGCCCCTAAAGAATTTCTCCAGATCCCAAACACGACAAGACGCAAGTCTAGGAAAACCCATTAACAACCTACCAGATGCCTGCTGCAGAAACTTCATAAAGATAAGGTAGCTTGTCGAAGTATAACCACATGCTGTGCTACTNGTAAGGCTGCAAAATGCATTTGTGTTATGTGTAAGGCTTATTATATTAGACTAGCGGAAACGGAAGTTAATGGGGAGGGATACGAAAAAATGACTGGGGGCACGTTTGAAGAAATGAAGGAAGCCATCACCACACGGCAACTCAAATTTCTGGAAGATGAACATCTACCTGCCCCTAAAGAATTTCTCCAGATCCCAAACACGACAAGACGCAAGTCTAGGAAAACCCATTAACAACCTACCAGATGCCTGCTGCAGAAACTTCATAAAGATAAGGTAGCTTGTCGAAGTATAACCACATGCTGTGCTACTACTACGGAAGGGGCGGGACGAATAGCACATGATGCGTGTTTAGCTGAAATGTTACCAGTTTGTGATGCACTGTGGAGAGAAGTTGGAAGCTCCATCGGAATTGATTCAGAATGATCCTGGATCACTAAAGGTGGAGACGAAATTCTGGAGGTTCTGACCGGGGCAGATCAGATAGCGCGTTCTATTCGGAAAGGCTGACCATTTGACTATATGCAGTCATCGATGACAGCGCACGTAGTCAAATGGTCAGCCTTTCCGAATACGTTCAACTGGTGATTGTTCACCACACACTGTAGAAACGTATAATTTTGTGGCTATGTATACAAACATTCCTTTGCCCACCCTTTTAGTCCCATTGAAAGCATCCATTGATCTGGTGTTTGATTTCCAACTCCAGGATTCTGAGTTTCGTTCAATTTCTGTTACGTATGGTTTTAAGGATAGCTCTCCGTTCGTTAAAAAGGAATATGTACATTGGTCCAATAAGGAACCAGTTCCAGTAGACAAGGGCAACAAGAAGGGGAAGACGTTTCTTATTGGGAAAGATCGTCTATTCCGATGGTTTGAGTTTGTTTTGACGGAAGGGTACGTTCAGTTTGGACCTCATATGCATATGTACCGCCAATTTTCTGGTATATGAATGGGATCCTCACCTGCACCTGATTTTGCTAATGTATCTGCTTACATGCACGAGTTGAGGTTTTATAAAGAGATGGTCACAGAGTTCAAAGCTGCTGCGCAATCTTGTGGTGACAGTCGTCGTGAGTCTATGTACCCTCGAGTGTTCATTGAACAATACGGCGTAAGGACAAATCGATACATTGATGACATCATCACTGCCGCTCTGGCTTCACAAGCCAATGGTTTAAGACTTGGGGATATCATATATAGCGGTAGTACTCTATACGATCCGGCAGACCTGGGCATGAGCGAAACGTTAGGAGGAATGCACGAAAAACTGAAAAGTGATAAAGATGATGAAGATGACCCAAGAACAAGTAGGACAGAGCGCGCACTTTCTAGACATGGAAATAGTCCAAGACGTGACAGGTTCTCAGGCAGGCATGTATGTATGATAAACGACATACTATGAGCTCTTTGAAGTCGTACCGTAGGTTTCCCCACATTGAGACTAAAATAAGTCACCGCTCAAAGTATGCGGTATTGCATAGTCAGTTATGAAGATTTGCCGTCCGTTGCACCCGCGTTGAATATATTGAGCTAGCTGCAGCAAAGCTGATGAGGGACATGTTGATACATCATTATAAGGAGGATATATTAGTTACTAAGTTACACAGTTTTCGTCAAGCATTCTTTAGGAAACACCTGTATATTTTCCGAAATCCTTTAGTTCAGATGTCAGAGTACAGTTTTGGTATGGTGTTGAGCACAACATTTGGTACCGTGTTCGCCATGGGGGTGATTCGTAAAGTTTAACTGTAAGAATAAGCGTGGAGGTAGGAGCAAAATGATAGGACGTATTTTGTCGATGGACGTACAGATAACCAACGATGTTGGTATCAACGCAGGTAGCCACTGTGGTATCAATCAGGATGTGAGGATTGATTTGAACATACTATTAGAGACATGAGGATGGTTGAATGGAGCTCAATGGTTTTGTTAGAATTCTCTCTTGAAGGACGGAATGTAACGTGCAAAACAAAACCTAAAAAACATCAAAACGTCTTCAATCACCCAACACCAGGGTGAAAAACAATCGATACGAAGGCAACAAACTGACTCAGTAACCATTCACAAGGGAGAACACAGTGCCCAGTGTCCCTTGAAAGATCTGATGAAACAAAATCTTCTAATCTCAGATCAATTGACGCCACCTGACCAGGTGAAAACTTCTTCAAAATTAATTTCTAAACCTCACATCAAATGACGTCGTTTGACCAGGTGAAAATGCGACACGTCGATGGTCTCCAAACCTATATTGAGCAGACGGTCACGGGAGCCCCCTTTGAACACTCTCACGTTTTATCCCTACCGCCAACCTCCCATTGTGTTCGGAGCAGCCGGCATTCGGATCCCTGCCGTGGTACCACATACATAGCTCTCCTCCGATAAGACTTGAGGCAAGGCGGGAAGGCTGTATCGAGTTTCGTGCAAAGCCGCTCACCCATATTGACCTCGCAGCTGACACCACCTTCTCCTGCTGCGTATCAACTCCCAGGTGTGTATTTGGATACAACGCGTGTGTACCTTTCGTCGTGTACCAGTTAAGATCCACTACAATCGACTACTACTCGTTGCTGCTGCTACTGCCCTTCATGAGGGATGATCTACAACATGGCTGAGACACGCTGCAAACGGTCTCGACAACACTCTTCGACACACACCGTTCGAAGAAATCAGGGAAGTACCTACATTGACCGCAACTCTACTGCTGTGCTGACCGCCGCCTGTTCATTTGCCTCGATGATACGTTGCACACAAGAAAGACTAAACTCCTTTGCTGTAAATCAGTATCACTCCTGACCTACTATCCTATGTATCTCCCTCCCCTTCAACGCGTTTCACCTACACGAAGAACAACGTAACATTGTACATTTCAAAATGAGCGGGAAATAGCCACACTCAATCTACAGTACAACTCCAACTGTTGAAATTATTATTTTTTTTTAAATATTGTGATGCGTGTACATGTACAACAGTCCTACAGCTGTACATACTGTTCTTGCCGGCCACAAGATGCGGAAGCTGCTCGAACTCGGGGACAGGTCATGATTTGCGATTCCCCACCGAACACCGAACGGTCGAAACCATAGACATGAGTGCCTGTCACCCCGGTGGTCTAGTTGGTAACCTCGAAAACTTCTAGAGGTCAGGTCAGGGGTTCGAATCCCGGCGTAAGTAAGCGAGCTTTTCTTGCAAAGTGAGTTTTTCTCTCGCTTCCGCTCCTGGCCTAGTGGATGGCGCTAGTTCGTGTGTACACAGAGAGAAGAGAGTGCTGAACTCTTGTCGCATTAAAAATCGAAGGCAATGCACCGCAGGAGGGGAGGGTAGAGAGGGGCTCTTCTGTGTGCCCACGGGTTGGAGTAATAAACGGCACTAAATAGTGCTGTGAGCGCTGATTTGAAGTGAAGACAAAAAAACAAAACAAAAAAAGACATGGCAAGTAAGCACCCCCTCACAACAAAAATAAAAAACTGAAATAATGGGTGGGTCAGTGGGTGGGTGGCCGGCGGACCCCAAACAGCAAGGCATGAAAAAAGAAAATAGCAAGGAGGTAGAACGAAGACAAGTGAGCCAGACGCGACAGGCTTCTCAGGAAGGTGGCAAAAGAGAGCATAGAAAAGCCACCATCTCCGCTCTGAACCGCTGGAAGCTTTCACATAGCATTGCATGCAGCAAACAGTATAGGGGCCATGCCCATTGCGTCACCACGTAAAGAGGTAGCGCCCATCGCCTCACATGCAGCAGCCGGGTACACGGGTAGCCTCTTCTTACTAAGCAAGAAGCAAAGCGATTGCGGTTGACATTCGATGTTGTTGGGACCTCAACGGCGAAAAAGCGAGAGAGAGAGACAGGTACTTCAGTTAGCGCCCGCAATTAAGAAATCTTTTTTTAAGAAATAGAGGCTCATTTTTCCACGAAAGATAAGAAAATAGGGTTAAGAAACATGGCTCACGCTGGGTCACACAATAAGAAATGTCCCAATAAGAAACAGCGGCGACCGCTGCCCCACGACATAAGAAACGAGGGGCTACGGGGAGAGTGCGTCGAAAAAGAAACACCCCACAGCTCCTCCTATCTCTCGCTCTTTCCCCCCTCTCCCACTACCTCCCCCCTCCCAAGTGCATTATTAGTTGTACGACGAAGGGGGAGTGTTTTTTTTTTGCGGCACCCCCTCCGGCCCCCTGCCGGCTCTGGCGCTCTCTGGCGCTCCGGCTCTGGCACAGCGCACCCGACAAGCTGCGAACCATATGCTGTCTGCTGTACGGTTTTGATGATGCTCTCCGCCAGCTTTCGTGAGCAGAGAAAATAAGAACTTGCCGATTAAAGAAGTTCAGCAGGATTTGGCGGCACGAAAATAAGAAACTTCACATACGAAATTGAACGACATACGCTGAGTTCATAGCCGACAATAAATAAGAATTCGAGGCTGGACCTGAAATAAGCGTTTCTTCTCTGCGGGCGCTAACTGTACTGTATGTAGCAGGTTGACTGTAGATCAAAGGAAGAGAGCGCCGAGAAGGCATGATAACTATCGAGAAGACACTCACTCTCGTCCCTGTGGCCCACCACAGGCTGTCAAACATGTATGTGCAGCGACCAGCACGACATCCGATGTGCGCTCAGCAAACAACAAACACAACAAACAAATATAGACTACATATATCTAGTACAAGAAGGAAGAAGAGCCCAGCCGACAACGGGCGCTCAAACGAAACCACAAGTCAACAACCAATGGGGCGGAAGGCGGGCAGGAGACGGACGAGACGGCGAGGGAAGAAACCAAACGAGAATATTACAATGTATCGCTGGTTGGTGGCCATATATGCTGGGGAGGGGTTGAGATTGATAATGTTGCCAAACCACCTGAGCTCTGAAAATTCAGTTGTGGGTTGCTGTCGGTGTGTAGATGCGATATTCTGTCTCAGATTTTTAATCCGAGGTCGGGAAGGTGGGTTTTCAGCGAAACTTAGTGATTTGTCTTCTTCAATGTACAGGGAAACGCAAATCAGGGGAAACGAACTTTATGTCCCCCCCGGGGACAAAACTGGGATTTCCCCATATCTTGCCCATTTCTTGGGCTTTTCAGACCACTGTTCCGGTAGAAAAACCCTACAGTTTTTGCACATTTACTGGCCACTTCCCACCAGGGGACGCGAAATTTGTGTCCTCCCCCGGGGAAAAAACGGGGATTTCCCCATATTTTGCCCATTTTATGCGCTTTTCAGACCGCTGTTCCGGTAGAACAAACCCTACAGTTTTTGCACACTTTACTGGCCACTTCCCACCAGGGTACACGAAATTTGTGTCCCCCCCCGGGGACAAAACGGGGATTTGCCCATAATATTACTACCAAGGGTAGCGCACAATACTTGCAAACGTTGCGTTCGACACCACACCAGAAAAAGCAAGGAGAACAACAGATGTCGACGAGTTCCATTCTTGTGGTTGGCAGCCAACACATCCATCCATCCCTAGCCCACCTCCGGGAACCTCTTCTTCGCGATACGTACGCGACCTCTTGAGCGTATGTATTGCGCTTCCTCCCGCTCCCCCTCCTCCTCCACCTCCTCGTCCTCGTCCTCGTCCTCGTCCTCCTCCCCCTCCTCCCCCTCCTCGTCCTCCTCCTCTCCCTCATCTTCCTTCTCCCCTTCCCCACCCACCTCCCCCATGCTCTGGTCAAGCGTAGGCGCCACTGGGGACTCGTCCGAAGATATGACCGGAAGAATAACGCCGGTCAATTGAGTCCCAAGCGTGCGTCTCCCAACCATCTCTTTTCCCGACTTCTCCATCACCTCGCCAACCAAGTCGGGGTACACCTTCGCTACCATGCAGTCATCGTAGCAGCCTATTCGGCAAGTCGAGCAGTAGCACGANCCTTCTCCATCACCTTGCCAACCAAGTCGTGGTACACCTTCGCTACCATGCAGTCATCGTAGCAGCCTATTCGGCAAGTCGAGCAGTAGCACGATGCGCCCCGAACCCGCAACTTCCAAGATCTGGTGAACTTCTTGGGGGCGGCCTATTTCCTCGCCCTGGACTCGTCTACCGCCCACTTCCTAGCCGGCAACACCTTGTCTCCGGCCGCTCCCACCACAAAATCGTCTGTCTGCACCCCCACACTAGTAGCCCACACAAGACTATAGGTATCCTGCACCTCCCCCTACTCCTCCTCTGGTCCCGGGATTCGTCACGTCACTCCGTGTCTTGCGCTCGTTGTACACGTAGCATCCCTCACTCGCAGCGATCTTGGGGGCGATGTCGTGGTTCGTGTTGTGCATCCGCCGCCGTGCGTCGCTGAAAGTCTCGTGCCGGATGCCGAGACTGTTGGCTCGCTCGGCAAGGCTCACTTCACCAGATTCAACGGGCTTGCACCGCTGGCCGGGGTGGCAAAGTACACGTGTGCTCTCCCGCTCCGGCTGCTACAGCGAGCGCTGTCTGGTAAGTGGTCCACCCTATCGAGCTGTTGCAGTGCTGCTTCAGCGCTTGCAACGACGCACGGAGTGCACGAGTGTTGGCCGCGTCGATCGCAGCCACCTTAGCTGCTGCCTGCTCTCCCGCGCCAGCATCCAGCATGGCCCGTACTCGCTCCATCAACACGGGGTCGTTCTGCATCAAATCCATCGCGCTAGAGCGAAGCTCCTCCGCAACCTGCATACAACATATCAGTAGTTATGGGACGAGTCGGGGGAACATATGAGTGAGCGACAAATAAACACCACGGTAGCAGCGTCATGGCAGCAGTTACAGCAGTCACCAAACCCGTGCAACTTTTATTGCGCTTTCTGTGCTGAAGATATCGACGTGGTGGAATGGACCTCAATTCTAAGGGGCAAAGAGGACGGGCAGCGCGTGTACCAAATTTCAAATTCAAGAATAGAGCAGCTGGCACGAACTGGCGCGCAAAGTAAAGCGCAGTCAATCAAGCACTAGAGCACCTTTCAGCAGCACCTCAGAAGTGATTCAATACTCACCGCTTCCTCTCGCGAAGTATCTGGGGTAGCACCGCTTCTAGTCCCGCCATCATGAGCCAATGCTAGAGGGTCGGAGGGAGCTGCGTCCGCCCCCTTGCGCCTTCTTCGCCGCAGCAGATGAAGCAGCAGAAGCAGCAGCAGGCTGTCGTTTCCCGCGTTTCGACGCTCTCTCTCTGATGCCTTCAACATGCTCTCTACCCTTTTCGAGGAGCTCAACTTCATCAGCAACCACAGATTGCACGGGTTTCCAGCTGCCTCGGTGGTACCCTTTCTCAACAGCTGGCTGATCAGCAGTATCCCGCGGATGTGCTTCTTCCGCTGCTGTCTCACTACCCCCTCTTCCCCTCGGATTTCGATTGTGCGGTCTACCTGCATGAGGCTGCCACNGGAGCTGCGTCCGCCCCCTTGCGCCTTCTTCGCCGCAGCAGATGAAGCAGCAGAAGCAGCAGCAGGCTGTCGTTTCCCGCGTTTCGACGCTCTCTCTCTGATGCCTTCAACATGCTCTCTACCCTTTTCGAGGAGCTCAACTTCATCAGCAACCACAGATTGCACGGGTTTCCAGCTGCCTCGGTGGTACCCTTTCTCAACAGCTGGCTGATCAGCAGTATCCCGCGGATGTGCTTCTTCCGCTGCTGTCTCACTACCCCCTCTTCCCCTCGGATTTCGATTGTGCGGTCTACCTGCATGAGGCTGCCACGAGCCACGGCCAGGCCCAAGTCGGGACGGCCGTCCTAGAACGAGACTAGGTCTGATGACCTCGAGAGTGGTGTCCTCTGTATGTAATTCGATCAAGCGGAGTCGATTGCCGTGGAGAACAAGGCTTGCGTCTTGCGTTGGCGATGTTTGCGGTCAAACAGGATGCGCCGCATCGTTTATCTTGAAAAATGTGGGAGATTATTTTTTTCGTTATTTTTTTCGTTCGGTTGGTCTCGCCGAAACGTTTCTAGAACCGGTCTCCGTTTTTCATGGCGACGAAAACTAAAACTCGTTCTAGGACGCCATTCTCCGGCATATACCGGAAGGCGCCCATTACAATGTATCGCTGGTTGGTGGCCATGTTTGCGTGTTTGCTTGTTGGTTAGTAGTCTCTCCACCGTGTGCCTTTTCCTGTCTCTTGTTTCTTGTTATTTTCGGCCTGGTCCCTATTTGTCCTCGCTGCTTTTCATTTTGTGTTCTCTTTCCTTATTACTTCGAAGTATTACTGCTGTCTCCTTTTGTTATTTTTTCTCTTTATAGATTGATCTCTTTGTTTTCTATTTTTCTCTATTTTCTCTCTTTTTCTGTGCCAGGTGGCCTTGTCTCTGCTTGCGTTGTGAAGTACCAAGATTGAACCAAGGGCGTGTACCTCTTTCTCTCCTGCCTGCGATGGTGACTCCTTGTCTTAGTTGCTACCTCGCATAGCGCGCAGAGGGAGTGGAGGCCTCCAGAATATCTGTCGTTGATTTCTATTGACTTGTGGGCCCCTCGGGGCCAGTTTATTTGAGTGTACCTTTAGGGTAAGTTGACCTGTGACCACGGGAATCGACCGCGTCGAGTGTTGGATCAGTGCGGACATACGAAGGTACTGGGTAGAGAGGGATCGGAACGATTTTAATGTGGAGACAACAACAACAACAACAACAACAACAACAAGTCCCCGTTTCCGAACTGTGGAGACTTTCTCTCATTTGCGGTATGAAGGCAACACACAAGAACATGAATAACCAGACGCACCATGGACGAAGTGTTATCTCAATACGCTTATCGTCGCGATAGATGCGCACCGCTACACGAACGACCAGTTGTCAAACCTCACTACGCAAATAATATTGTACTGCCATCGACCTTATCGCTCAAATTACGACTACGCAGCAGACTCAAGGTAAGGCAGCAATACGCTTTCGATGCTTTATTTACCACCGATGAATATATACTACCTCTGTCCGAGAATATAAGCAAGGTTTGGAAATCCGGGAATATAAGCAAGCTTTCTCGATGAAGGTGTTTCAAGGTGTTTTGGACACCGTTTCCTTCCTATTTTTTTGCGTCAAGCTCGGATATGATAAGCGGCCAAGAAAAAACCAACATAAGAGGGGATGATAAGGTTTCATCCCCTCCCCGGAGAAACATTGATTTCCCTGCCATAGCGCTCAGTAGGGAAAAAGGGGTCCCATTTTTTCTCTCGTTTGCGGCAATGAATAGTGCTTTTTTCCTCGTTTTTTTTTCTTTGTATTTTTGGGTACTTGAACAACCTGTACAATCACGTTGCGAAGTATCTTCGATAGTTCTTTGGTGCTGACCGGGACCAAAGTTCCAGAGTGGCAAAAATCAGCAACTTCGAGGGGCCAAAATGAAGGGAAGGCGTTGGAAAAAAAAAAAAAAAAAGCGTTTTTCCGAAAAAAAAAGGTGTTTGAACCCAGGATCGAACTCACGGCCACTGAACAGCTCGCTTTCGCGGTGTATTTTGCCTTACGACCAAACCTTGCTTATATTCTCGGACAGAGGTAGTATATAGCAAGAACAAAAAAAAACGAGTAAGGCGGACCAGACCGTCTGTTGTTGTCTGTATCTTCAACCGTGCTGCCGTTGCTTTTCTTCATGGACATCGACACAGAGGAAAAAGTAAGGGATGCGCATCTCCTAATCGAGCGCAGCGTGCAGCCCAAGCGACAGAGACGATGACCTTACGACCTTTGCAGCATATTCCGAGCATAACAGCAGCAACCGCATGTGTACAAAGGTCACGCAGATAGCAAATCAAAAACAAATGAAAAAAAAAAGGTTACGGCGAGCGACACGCAGGACCCTCTTTCGCTGTTCGACCGGCCGTTCACATGGCGAAATATACAAGGAACAGTCAAGGCCGAGTCGTGTCGGCCACAGGAGGTGCTAGCTGGTCAAACTCGGGGAGGGGTCGTGGTTTGTGATTACCTACTGGACCATACCACGAGATTCGCACTGTATCCCGAGATGAGCGTTTGAGACCCGGTCGGGCCAGGGGTGGGGGATGCGAATGAAAGTTACACACACACACGGATATCGAACGATGAGACTGAAGCTAAAGCTTCAGAAAAGCTTCACAATGGCAAAGGGTGCCCTTTGTGTGTATCGCAAGCCCGCGGACGGTGTATACCACAACGCTCTGTTGTGGTTCTTGTCGTGGTCGTCACTGTTTATGTCGTCACGTTCAAACCGTCCGATCTCTCCTCATCGCCAGAGTATCTCGCTCAACAGGCAGTAGTACCACGGAGGGCATGTGCGTGCGCGCCCTACAGAGATACCTGTGTTACAATTCACCCTGGGAATAATACAGCTACCAGGATTGTGTCGATAAACATACACAAATCGCACCCAAATAAATGCACGTCATGATAAAATTTAAGTCGTCATAGTGCCAAAAGCAAGCGAAGCGAACCAGTAGTTTCTGATCAATATCTCTCAATTCACCGCTTTCACTCCATCCGTGACAATTGTCCACACCTCCACCACAGGAAGCCCTTCCAAATCTGCAGGCGGGGGTATGTATCCCCCCCATCCCCTCCCCACCACAGCCTCAGCTCATCGCAAATGAATATTGCGCTTTCAACGCTTTTACCAATCGCACCAACCCCGAAACGGTGAAAAGAGGCCGCTGCAACCCGTACCGGTCGGCCCACCGCTCCTTGAAAAGTCAACCCACGCAAACAACGGGCCAACGGCGCCACAGATAATTATCGGCAATGTCTTCGGGCCATTCCAAAAGCCGAGCACCTTCACGAAAAACTCTCTCTTACACTGCCACCAGCTTTACCCTGCATGGAAGGTGGCAGTATCGAATCTGCGTTACAGAACACGCACAGCTGTCTCTCCCTACAAATAAGACAGGACATGCGCGCCTGTCCCATGCCCACAAAGAAGAAGAGCGCCCGGTCTCAAGGCGTGGTGCAAGCCAGCCGTGGCGCGTTGCAGGTGGGCGCGTTTCGAACATCGGGTGGTATCACTAAACACACTGAGTGGTGCTGTAGTGACGATACAACCATTCTTTCAAACCCTACCCGAAGCCACCCCCCCTACAAGTGGGCGGAGCGGAGGAGACGACGACCCCTGCCACTCGATCTTTCGTCCATAAAACCACCGTTCCCTCCACGACTCAAAAGGGCGAATTACTTGACCTCCGCGGATTGGTGGTGGCGGTGCCAATCTTATATACAACACATGCGACGCGTTGTGTGCGGGACACCCCCCCCCTTTGACTGAGAACAGCCCTTGTCCTTCCCCCTCTCCTCCAGGGAGCATGGACCGCCACCACCGTAGCTACAAAATATGGATGGCGACGGCGGGAGACCCTGAAATGCAACGAACACCGTCTTCCAAACAACCTTTGCAACAACTTCCAACACACACACAAACACACACCTTCGTCTGAACCAGCCACCCAAACCCCAACGCCATCCCTGACCAACCCGAGCCCCATGCCCTGACCTCATCGGGCATCCGAGGGGGCTCCGGGGTGCCTCGCCGCGTATGGTGGGGGTCCGTGAAAAAAAATGTTAGCGGCGTTAAGCCAATCAGAGTGTAGCCTTACAAGAAAAACAGCCGCAACCCGGAATAGCATTTAGGCGCTCAAGGCAAAGGTACCCCCACGGCTTCGTCTTGACGTTCGTCGGGATGAACGCCAGGGGCATTGAGGTAGCGAACGCGTTTCGGTCACCGCGCACGCTTTCGGTGCGTTACGGCGCACACGGTGTGAGGTACGCCTTAACCTTCGGACAAACACGGCACCCCTAACGTCCCTTCCCTCCCCTTCGCGTCGTTGTCGTGTATTAGTGTCGATGGCAGCATAGCACATAAAAAACGGCGAGAACAAATCACCAGCGGACGGCACAACTCGGACCCATCGCAAAAAAGACATGGTAGATTATCATCCTCATCATCATCGCTATGCGGCGGCGGCGGTTGCAGCTCCTCCTCTTTCTAACCCATCCTCCCTCTCCTCTAACCCGCCGCTGCTCTGGTCCCGCCGCCCGAAGACCATGCGCGCCCCTTTCCAGCCGCTCCGCTCCGCCTGAGACACGGCCCTCTTGTGCGGCAGGGGTTTGCCTGCCGTGCACGCTCGTTCTTCCCCCGGTATCCGCTTGCCGCCCGCCGTGATGATGGTTGCGACGCCGTCTACAATCTCGAGCGCCTTCGGACAAACGTTCGGCAGTGCAGCATCCATGTCGAGTTTGGGAGAGGTTGCTCGAATCACATTCCGAAAAAACAGTATACATAGCTCTTTGTTGAAGAACTGTGAGGACATACGAAGTACTACTTCAGTAATTGTTTATCGTGGTCATTGTAGAGCCCGCTCTCGTTTAGACCGATATGACAGTGACCATGAACAATGGGGTAACATGGCACTGTTGCGGAGGCGATTCCGCAGTGTGGTTGGTATCAGATATGTGGCGCGTTTCCATCTGGCACATATCAGGGCTCTATCAACCTATCAACCTATCAACCTCACCCACTTTTCTTCGTACGCGCGAAATGCCTTCGCTTCTCCTGCTGGTCTAGGTACGCACATACGGGTGAACAACCACCGGATATCTCTCTCCGGGCACACACATCCGTCACCGCTGCACCCCCTCAACAAAGCACGCTCATTTTTTTTGCTGTGCTGTGCTATTATTAATACTGTCGCGCCTCTGGTTGGCCTCCGATCATGGCGGTCATTCCGGTGTCGGTCCGCCAGAGCCTGCCCCCCAAGGCGCTGTTGATCCCAGCCTCCTGCGGCGTGTGCCCCACGATCATCCGGACCGTTCCCGTTACATCCAGCACCTGTGCCGTTGGCAAGCACGAGCAAAAAGTAAGACCATTTACGAGAAAAACAAGAGAAAGCGGGCCGAGGGGGGGTAAATATCTGTATTCCATTTGAAACGAAAGTCACCTCCCTGCGGGAGATCGATGAACCTTCCAAAGCGGATGCGCCAACGAGGGCCACGCGAGACAAGTACACGCTTGAACGATAGAATGAAACCAGTACACTAGGGTTTTGCACCTCCGTTTACAATGCCCACAAGCCAACATCGTAGCAACGCGAGTCACACACTAAAACACAGACGCAATACACGCGCAGATATAAGGCTGAGGCAACACGTACGGACTCATGCATGCACAAGACTGAGGTATCTTTTATCGGTCACCCAATCAGCGCGGTCGATGCAAACTAACAACACACACGCAACACGGCGGAGTGCTTCTTGCTTCTTTTTGTTTCGACGTCTAACTGCCCATCTCACCTTCTGCAGGTCCGCCCCCGCCTCCTCACCAAGCTCCACCCCCCCCGGGGAGCTGTAGAACCTGGTCCACACGGGACTGTCGCGGTTCCACAGCTCCTTCGGCATCTCGCCCTGGCCGATGAGCCACTCGTGCGTCCACCTGAACCGCGACAGCAGTGTTTGATTTTGTTGCATCGTCAAGACCACCCGCCGGAGTAAAACGCGATGTGGTACACCGGTACGGATGTATGATACCGTTAGCGGCCGCACTTGAGAATCTCTAGTTTTCGCCTGGGCTGGGGCTCTTAGTTCCTAGGGTTACGCTACGAATGGCCGCCATATAGGTTTTAGTGTAGAGGCTCTAGAACGGGCTCGCGACGGGCAGTCGATTGACTGCTGTGCGAGAGCGCTACCTCAGCCCAAATGAACTCTATCCGGACAGGAAGACGATACATCAGAAAGGGAAAGACAATCGCTCGTGGTATGCACAACCGTGATAACAAACGTGACGCACAGAAACGAAAAAAAAAAAAACACCACCCAATCATACAAACACCGCCTACGGTCTCGTGCAAACCATTATCGACGTATTTCTACACATTTTGCGAGTGAAGTTTTCGGGGGGAGGGGTTAGTCGTTGATCGCTTCAGTCCGCCGTTCTTCATCCTCTTATTTCCTGCCTACCTCGCTGTTTCTGATCTTCTACCCCCCTTCGTCTTCCTCACCGGTTCAAACTCTCCAAGCAGGCCATACCCGTCGCGCCCCTGCAGCTTTTCGGGTCGAAGTTCACCGGGCGAAGGCCTCCGTGAACGAGGAGCGTGTCTCCGATCTGCGTGTATTGGCCACAGTTTCCATCCGAGTCGCGTCCGCAGCGTGCAGTCGACCACGTCAAAGAAGCGCGCGTTACGACGGCGATTGAATTGAGTACAAAAACAAACAAGTTACACGTCAATGCTCGCGTGTTGTTATAGTTATCAAGAAACAATTACAGGGGAGATATTGCAGTACGCTCTGCTCGGGGAACCGTACAAATACAGGTCGGTCATCATACAATAAACATTATGGATCCATTGCTAACCTATCCAGGACTCTTATCTGTAGAAGATGTGGACTTGTTGTGTTTCTGAAAAAAAATAAAAATAAACGCATAGGACAGCCTCTGCTGCTGTGTAGGGCTAGGTTATATCGCCACTTCGTACCGTAGGTTAGCGGGAGAAAAATGCTGCAAGAGGGAGGGTGGGGGGGAGCCATACATGCAACGTCATGCAAGCGGATCACAGATGTCGTTTAACCTCGTCCTTATAATTTCCTACTCCGGACCCAAGACCTGACTTCATGGCGACCAGAGTGGAGAAAGTAGGGGAAACGATGCACACGGATGACGCCGAGAAAGGTTTATTCGCCAAACAACAACAACAACAACAACAACAACAACAACAACAGCAACAACAACAGCAACAACAACAACATCAGAAAAACAACAAATTACAACCACAACAGCAACGAAAACAATAACAACAACAACAACAACAACAACACGCTAGGTACCTTCATGGCGACGGAGTGCGAGGCCAGCATCTTCGATACGGGACCGCCCGGCGCCATCGCCGCCAGCCTCGGTTTCCCCCAGTCGGGGAACTTGTCCAGCTGGCTCCCGAACGGCTGCATACAGCACACGACCAGACAAAAAACAACACATGAAAGCCAGCAGCAATACAAGAAAGCCGCTTTAGTTTCTAGCATCATTCATCAATCGCCGCTGTTCAGAGACCGCCTTGTGTTCGCTTGCAAGCGGCTCTGACCGCACGCGCACAGACACGCAGAAACCGCGCGGAAAGTACTACTACCACCGCCGACGATTAACAATGCTGCGTCACGTCTAAGGTAGGATGGGGTCTCGACGACACAGCAGTCAGCGAGTCTTTCCTTCATAGGCGGGGCGCATCGATCGGTTCAGAAAGGGCTTGAGCCCTCGCAGAGGAGTGCTCACTTCCTTCGACAGGCGGAGATTCACCGACCAAGCCCTACGAAGCGAAACGGTATTTGCCGCGACCCACGTCCCTCCGCATCATTGTCGTGGGCATGCGCGTGTTTCGTGGCTCGACCGCAAAACTGACCGAAGGAAATATGTCAGACTCAGCGGATACACTGGTGTGTGTGTTTGTGTATGTGTACCGTCTGCGTGCGGTTACGGGCTCATCATAACAGACTACAAAAGCGTGCAGAAACAACTTCCGTTTGCCGACAAAGCAGTTGTTTGAGCCTTCCATGTGCGTTGAGAACCACTCAGCAATCTCCCTCCTCCGCTCCAGCTCTGTCACTCACCGCGAGGTCGACGTTAAGGTCTTGGAAGGGCTCGAACGACTTCGGAGACGCGGTAGAATGGTCGCCCATGGCGTTCATTATCTGGTGCAGGTAGTATGTAACGGGGTACACGGAAAAGGTGTGCCATCAACCAGCAGTCATGGTCTTGATGACGGCACGCAAGTGTCCAGTCCGAGAGAGAGAGAGAGAGAGAGAGAGAGAGAGAGAGAGAGAGAGAGAGAGAGAGAGAG